TTAATCAGAAAAAAATATATTTAGATATATACTCCTGGACAAAATTATCGCACCACCACTGCACATAAGCACCATAAGCAGTGGTGCGATAATTTTGTCCAGGAGTATATTATTATATTCATAATAAACTTGTTAAAACCTAATAAGAAATCCTCTCTAGCATATTCCAATTTGCCTTCTTAGCCCCAATTTTCTATCTATTGTAATTCTTTTTTTCGCCTCCCACAACTTAAGATTAATTAACACCCAATGCTAAAACAATTTTATTTTTTTACCACCACTTAGATAGAAAATGTGTGAATTATTGTTGATAACTTCACATGCAAATTACTTTATAATTATGGAATATAGAAATTCTTTTCGAGTGAATTACATTATATTGATGATAAACAATAAAAGATCTAATCCAAATCTCATTTCACTGAATCCTCTCGATGGATCTGTTTGTTTATGGTGAAATGAAATTTGATACCTATTATGGTAGAAGTGAATTGATTTGGTAAATTGATATCTTATTTATTGAATGATTTAACAATAAAACAAATTCAATGTTTTTGTCATGTTCACCAAAAATAATGTAAAAAATAAATAGATAAAGACATAAAATATGAGTAAGTTCCTACCTATTATTGTTTTAGTTATTTTTTCAATTTTTCGCGTGTTTATCTTTATTTTTGGGAAACAATCCATAGCAAATAAGACCTTTTTCAAAAGATAGGCAACGAAAGAAACAGCGGGGTGCTGTTGCCACCTTAAGCAAAAATGGACTCATTTTATTTCCTATAGACAGAATTATCACGAGGATCATGTGTGGACAAAGTTTACGTGTGGATCTTATTAAAATCATATTCTTATTAAGGTTCGTCTTCTATGATTTCAAAGATCATAAATTATTGTCTCTCTCAAGATCACAATTTAGAAAACGATAGTTATATACATACTTTATTATATTATACCTACACACATCAGGTTTGACCTCAGTGTTAATTGGTTGACCATAGTCCTGTAAAAATGCTTAAGTATGTCTTTTCAGTTAAGTACCACACGTGGTGAGTTGTGGGGTTAGTATCTATATAACTCGAGTAGTTCCAAAAATGTCGGAACATAAAAACAGAATTAAAAATAGAAATTAAAAATGACAAATAGTTACGAGTAGGGAAGTAGGGTGTTAAAGGCAACGTCATAATATTACGGTTAACATTATATTTGAATATCACGATAAAAACAAGATATATTTTACCAGTACCTTCATCGCCGCAACGTTGATTAAATCTTGACTCACTTTAGAACTCATGTTTATTGCAATAATTACAAAGAATTTTTATGCATAATGTTATAACAATAAATAACTTAAGATAAACTTAAAAGCTAAACTAACATGGTTGGCACCTTAAGATATTTCAACTTAAAATAAGTAAAATAAAATGGACAAGTTGTCTTGAAGAGACTTCCTAAACCTAAACCTAAACTAAATGGATGGTCCTGGTCCTCGTCGGGGGCTCCTGGTTCTGGATGGCTTCTGTTGCGGCAGAGTTAGGTGGGGGCTTCCTGCTTCGGACTACCTCCCCAGGCTAGGGAAGCTGTCTCCGGCATTCAGCGTCCTATGTTTGACTAGCTTCCTGCTACATGCGTCCCTCCTAGGAGGGGCATGCTGCAGTAGGCTTTTTAAGGCTGGCTTCCTGCCTCCGATAGGCTTCCCAGGCTAGGAAGCTGTCTCTTTGGCAGTAGGCGTCCTGTTTGATTTCTCAGGCAGAGAAGTCGGGGGCGGCTTCCTGCTGCGTATGATTCTCAACCCCTGCTCAATCCAGGGCTGAGTATGCACGCAGCAGTAGGCCTGTTGTGGCCGGGATGGTTTCAACAAACATTGCGGGTTGCAGTGTTAGTTGTTCCTGGCAGTAGTTGTTTGACGAGGGGTGCCAGTGCACTCGTCAGTTGTGTCAGTTGTTTATGGTAGCTCCTGTTCATGTTCTCTATGGCACTAGAGATTTGCCGCAGCGTCTCGGGCAGGCTGTCGCTGATTGGTGCCGCCGCGGGTCTGGGACCCGCGCTGGCAATGGTCTTCGTGCCGGCGAAAGAGTCCGCGGTCGGGGCTGTTCTGGCTCTTTCGGCCCAGGAGAAGGCGGGTCTCCGCTGGGCTGGTTGTTTGTATTTGGGATGGCTTGGGCAGCCTTTCCATGAGGCAGGGTGGGCCCTCTCACAGTTGGCACATTTGGGGGCTTCTTTTGGCGTTTTGGTGCAGCTTTCAGTTTTGTGGTCGCCGACGCACTTGACACACTTGGAGGCGGCCTTACAATTGAAGGAGGCATGTCCATGTAGTTGACAATTATGGCATTGTCCTGATTGGCTCTGCGTTCTTTGTGCTTCTAAACGGATTGTGATTCCGTTTAGTGTGACAATGTTGTCGTAAATGTCCTTTTCGCTTCTGGGCAGCAGCACTAGGACGCACCGCATGGGGCGCCCCTTTTTTGCTCCGGTATTCCAGAACCACCTGGTGACGGCGACTGGGTGGTAGCCCAGGTCTACTAGCTCGGATTTAATGAAATCCGTGGACGTAGATTCCAGAACTCCCTTGAAAACCACATGGAGTTGTTTGTTTCCAGGGAGCTGAATGTATGATATGGCACTTTAGTAGATTCTAAATGACTCGCCAGGTTTCTTTAGTCAGTTGAAGTGGCTGGGAGTATGCGCACTCCCTCTTCGGTAGCTGAGGCCTTGGTTATAACGATGTTTTTGTCTTTCGCAAAGGACCCCGCAATATTTAAATGGAAATTGGTTACCCGTGATATTTGGATGAAATTTAAATATGTTATTGGGGATGCCATAAGCAACATTTTTTACCATGGGCACAACCCTGTATATATGACAGGTGAGGCGTGGTTAGCTGTCAAATATTAGAATCTTGCATCCAAAAGCAGAGTAACTATGGCAGATTTTGATGAACCAAAAATCTATTTCTACTAACTCGACCAAGTTAAGTCGAAAAATGACAACCATTTTAACACCTGTCAAAGCCCTGCCAAACGGCAGCACTCATCTTTTCCAGTTTTCAATATTTTCTGTTGTCATTTGACATTTTTAACTAATATGTAAATTCTAAATTCAAAAAAAATACTCTTATCTGGTCCTTTCTCGTTTTAAGGTAGTTTATTGGTGATATAACATTGAACAAAGTTCATGCACATCACATTTTGACAGCTGTAATTTTTTTTCCAATTTTTGAATTTAGAATTTACATGTAAGTTAAAAATGTCAAATAACAACATAAAATATTGAAAACTGGAAAAGATGAGTGCTGCCGTTTGGCAGGCTTTTGACAGGTGCTAAAACGGTTGACATTTTTCGACTTAACTTGGTCGAATTAATAGAAATAGATTTTTTGTTCATCAAAATCCGCCATAGTTACTCTCTGCTTTTGGATTCAAGATTCAAATATTTGACAGTTAACCACGCCTCACCTGTCATACATACAGGGTTGTGCCCATGGTAAAAAATGTTGCTTACGGCATCCCCAATAACATATTTAAATTTCATCCAAATATCACGGGTAACCAATTTCCATTTAAATATTGCGGGGTCCTTTGGCGACCTGGTCGTACTTGGCTTTGTCCCTGAGTACGATTGGGGGCACCTTTTTGGAATCGGGCTGCTGTGTGACTGCTTCTTCTGTTGTTGTTTCTGGGGCCGGTACAACTCTAGCGATGTTGGTCCGGCCGCTGCGTCCCCTCGGCACAGTGTATTTGCCGGTGGCTTTGGTGTCTCCAGTTTTCACTGCTGGTTCCGCAGCTGGCTTCGCTGTTGGTTTCGGCATCTGTTTGGATGGTCCTGGCATGGCGATGGGTTGGGGTGGGGTGGCTGAGCGGCGCTCGTTTGGCCCGTGCCCGGCGTCGTCGTCGGACAGGGCGTCGTGGATGGATCTGGCTCCCTTCGGTCGTTTTCTTTGCTTGAGGCTAGAAATGAAAGAGTTTTTAGTGGGGTCTGAATCTTCTTCAGACCGTTCGGGCTTGCGTTTGAGGCGCCGGCTGGGAACGGCCGTGAAACCGTCGTCTTCGTCAATGATGGATTCGGATTCGGAAATCGTTTCCATGGTTTCGACCGAGCTCTGAGACGCGTTGCTGTCCGCATCCGATTCCCCTTCTTCGTCTGAGTGCTCGGATTCAGGAGGGGGCTTGGCGGCGGACGCGGCGTCCCGGAGAGCTCGGTTTTCCTCCATGAGAACTATTATGCTCTGTCGCAAAGTTTCCATCTCCTTCGCCAACTTGACGAAGCCTTCGGCTGTGGGAACTTGGCTGGTCGAGTTTTCCATGGCGTGGCGTAGAACTGGGTTCACCTCACTAGTAGGACGAACTAACTGGCTGCTTGCTGTCGCAAACTAAATTCAGATTCGAGTATTCTCAAGAGTAAACGTGTTCACTGATCGAGAGCTCAAGTCAGAATTAAATCTTGAAATACGCACCAAATTGGTAAATAAACATATAATCGTTAAAGCGGCAACATATTCTAATATTAGTCTAACTTATTTGTCACAACTTTAAGCGATCTGAAATCTAAACGGTTTGATTTGTAGTCGGTTGTTGGTCGTCGTAACTTTAATAAAGGACTGAAATCTAGGCAATATAGACAATCTTATTCTAGTTCTAGTTGGTCAAATGTCGCTAACGTTGTGAGAATTAATTCGTAAAATAGAAACTACATATTACAGTTATTTGGGAAGTTAGAGACGTCATTGAAACGTTACTTACCTACCGACTTTGGTCAACAGAAATCTCACCTTGTTACAGCAGAGATAATTATCGACGCGAAAAAAAGTTCTTTTAGAAGAAATTAAGAGACAGAAACTATTGAAAGACTTTCGAAAAAGCTACAAATCTATTCAAAACACAATCTTGAGTAACATGTAAAAGATCCATTAAAAAGTCTTACTTTCCCCGAACAAATTGTGCTTTTAATAGAAGTCCATTCATTCCTTGAATTTACCTTTAACAAATTTTGTTTTGTTTCAGATCCTTCCCGAATCTGAAAAATTTCTCCCAAGAAATTATCTCAAGATGGACTGCTTTTGTGCTGACCGCACGCCTGTGCACTGTAAAATAGTATTCCTAGACGAAACCGAACTCGTACACGAATTACAACGAACTAGCACCGGACAAGTTTTACTCGACATGGTCTTCAAGCACCTAAATCTTCTTGAAACTGCTTATTTCGGATTGAGATTTCTTGACCACAACGGTCAAACCCACTGGTTGGATCCAGCAAAAAAATTAAATAAGCAAATTAAAGGAGACGATCTGTATACTTTATATTTTGGTGTGAAGTTCTATGCAGCTGATCCTTGTAAGCTTCTAGAAGAAATAACGCGATATCAGTTTTTTTTGCAAATCAAGCAAGATATTCTTCAAGGTAGATTGCTGGTACCCTTTGAGCTAGCGGCTGAATTGGGTGCTTTCATCCTTCAGTCAGAATTGGGAGATTACGATCCAAGAAGACATGCTTATGGCTATGTATCGGAATTCCGTTTCTTTCCCAACCAGAGTGTAGAGCTAGAAATGCGCATGACGGAACTTCACCAAACTTTAACTGGACAAATGCCTAGTCAAGCCGAATTAAATTATTTGGACAAAGTGAAGTGGTTGGAAATGTACGGTGTGGATTTACATCCAGTCTTAGGTGAAGATCATGTTGAATATTTTCTTGGATTAACGCCCAGTGGCATCATAGTGTTACGAAATAAAAACACAGTGGGGAATTACTATTGGCCTCGAATTACCAAAATTTACTTTAAAGGCCGCTATTTTATGTTAAGAGTAGCCGGAAAAAACAATGACGAATGTACTTATGGATTTGAAACACCATCAAAGTGCGCTTGCAAGCATTTATGGAAATGCTGCGTCGAACATCACGCTTTCTTCAGATTGGTGCAGGTCACTCCAGCAACGCCTGATATATTTGCCTTGGGATCTAGATTCAGGTAGGTTTCAACTTAACCCAAGCCCGAGGCTGATAACTATTCATTCTACATCGTTTAATGTTTCAAAAAAGGCTAGACTAAATTGAGTTCCTTTTTAAAGTAGTCATTACAATGATTGAATGGCTGCTGATTACCTTACACCGAAATTTGTATCTCGCTGGATATTATATTCCATTTTCATTGGGGCGTGTTATGTAACTGTTACTTGAAAGCACGGATTACTGGGTCAGGATTTAAACAAAAGTAGTGTTACTCTTTAACTTACTATTCCAAATATGATTTTATTTATTTTGAGCAAAAAAAGTTTCTAGATCTCCACATTTTTATATTTATGATGTCGTAACATGTTTCATCACACAGTGCCTTCTTCAGACGGAATGATGTGCTGAAACATAAATATAAAAAGACTTTGATAAAATGGTGGAAATCTTAGAAACTTTTTGGTTTCCTTTTAAAATTTTTAACCAATTTTTATCAAGTATCGGCTAAATCAATCTTTCTTAAGTTTTTCTTGATTTGGAATAATCTGTTCATAGTAATTGTACAATTCAAATTTGAATGACAGCAATAAATTGTCCGGCCTCTACCCACATGGCTTTAGGTAACATGTTACTGAAGAAAGGCGCAAAGGCAATGTCGTCGTTATCGGATAATCGAAACAACCTTTAGTCCTGTTGAGATAATAATTTTTATTTGCAAAATATAAATGACCAACTTAACTTTCCTTTCATAGTTGAAACAGATTTTTTTTTCAAAAGGCTTACATACCAATATTTATTTCTGTATTTATTGTAGTGCAACTGTTATGGATAGTAGCGTTGGACAGACAAAGTTTTAGCCTTTTTTCTTTATTTCATAAAGCTTAAGGCTATGGCAAATTACATTACAGGTGATTCAAGTGTAACGTGTTTCCCACTACTTACATTGAGCTAGGAGATAGTTGCAAAGTTTTCTTATCGATAATAAGTTGAAGTTGAAGTTAGGTAATAAAGGGTGTTCCGTCGTATGTAAGACCTACTTCGAAGGGTTGATTGAGCAGATCAAAAAAATTTAAAGTCTCATAACATAACATCATAATATGTATGGTATGTCCAAAATTCGATTCGTTATCGCTTCACGGACACGTTATTGGAAACGTTGAAAAAATCTAGACTTTTTAAATAGGTACTATCGACTAAATCGAGTGACGACTAAATCGAGTGAACCAAAATGGGTCCAGAATACTAATTATCGCATTCTGTAAACATATGAATCACCGCAAGCAATCAGTGGCGGCGGATTTAGAAGGGTTCAGTCTCATAGTCTCATTCAATTTAATAAAAAAAGGACTTTTCCTATTTTTCGATAGAGCATAATATTAGATACCTATAGGTACAAAACTAAGGTACTCCCTACTCCTTGACGATTCTCGGTTACTCAGTGCTGATTAATACTTCCCCCCCAAATATTTTGCTTGGTTTTTTCTAAGCAAATATATGCTAAGAAAAAAAGTTCTAGATTACTGTTTGAAACGTCATTTTATGTCCCTAAAAATAATCTGTAATTTGAAAAAAAATTATTTGAACAAAAACAAGAACATAATATTATGTTTATGGGAACTTTGTTGAATTTTTTTGGCATCTCAAATTCACCCGCTGAAGTGCATTAGTGCAGATATTATTAAACACCATGTATAATAATGTATGTATAGTGTCACGAATTCGGTGGATCCGCTAAAACTCTTTTTATACTAACACAACAACAACTTTTATTGAACTGACTACCTATAACAAACTATACGCGCTTCGAATACAATACCATTCAAATCGGATCGTCTCGATCTGACCATTTATTCTCGTGTTAAGCTTTCACCCTTTCAAGATTTACGAACCTCTTTTCTACGTCCATAATTATTCCATTCCATCTATAATTCTTCATTTCCTTTAGTACGAGCGTACATATACATTTCAGAGGCCTTCGATCCATCCGATTGGAAATAATGTCCTCTAGATTTATGTTTTTCGTCATACTTTTAATAATTATCTTCATCATCCCAACTATCCATCACATGCTCAACTTCTATCTCTTCTAGGATGCCTTCCTGTGAATCCACGTCCACATTCCCACTTGCGTGGTTCTTCTCCCCCTGAACTGACGTCACAGAAACTATAAGATTGTCCATTTTCCGTCGGTGGTGATCCCCATAACGACGCTCTAACGCATCAACTTGTTTTGTTGGAAAGCTGGCGTAAGGTTTTCTAATATGTCTAAGGCAGGGCCACGCAATACTACAATTAGTCATGTATATTTAAAGCTTCAACCATTAGCCATTGAAATAGTCTCGAACTGACATCTGTACATCGCTCACGATATCTGACCACCGAATGGAGGTCGTTAAACTTTAATACCGGTTACAGGCGAAGCTGAGATATTTCTTGATATCATGTCACATTCCAACTTTTCAATTTTGTTCGAAACCCTATTCGTTTCTTGGCGAAAAGTTCCAACGTCCTGACGAAGAGTTCTAACTTTCTGATGAATAGTTCCAACTTCATAACAGTCACTCCCTAGTTTTTCGCTTAATTTGTCCATGGCATTTTTTAATTTATTATTTTGTCCTGCCAGGATCTTCTCGAGTGTGATTTGTTCCTCAGAGACTAAGGTCTGAATTCATGCTGAGGCCAGTCCTATTCTTCGTATTTTTCTTTTGTTCTCTGATCTTGTTTTTATGGTAATAAAGGTGTTACAAGCCGGTCCTGTTCTTTTTCTTCTTCATTCCATCTTCAGGCTCCCTCTTAATGTTTTTCTTTCTGTCTTCGGGAATCTTCTTCTCATCTCTCTTTCTATACTCGGGCTTCTGGTTCTTGTCTTTCTTTCTGTCTAAAGTCTTCCCCTTCTTGTTTTTCTTTCTGTCTTCGGGCTAACTTTTCTTGATTCTCTTTCTGTCTTTGGGCTTTTTCTTCTTTTCCCTTGTCTTCGATTTTTTTTTCCAGCAAAATTTGATTAACCTGCTCTATTTCGGCGGTTTGCTGTCCTGTATTTTTGTTTCACTTTCGGTTTCCAAATTGAACACTAGATATACCTACCTATGGAATGTTCTGGAAGTTTTCAAAAAACCCGTTTGTGAACTTGTCTTTCGGCTTTCAAGTAACTGCTCCGGTTTATCAAAATTTCACCTATTGTTCCCATTAATTAGCTAGAATCAATCTACCAATTATCTCGCTAATTATCCGCCTAATTAGCTCACACTAGTCCACTAGGTCTCTCGCCATTTATTTTACAATTCAGCTCAAATCAATACATCACCAATAATTAATTATCTTGCATATTGTCCCACTTCTGCCCCTAAATTGTGACAGATTCCCCGAGTCCACTTAAACTCTGTTTACTAACAGCAACAACTGTAATTGAACTAAATTGAGTTTACAAAATTCACTAATAACTTATTGCTTTCACTTAACTTCATTCCTACAACTAAACTGACTGCAACCGTTGCTGCAACCCACAAACTACGCGCTTTATATGCAAAATAATCAGGCACTAGCTAACGTCACGTACGTCCTTCCTTTCGATGGGGGGGACAAACAAGCTTTACTAGCTATTACGTCCCAAATCACATAACGTCACTTTCGAAAGTGGGACAAACATGCCATTGGGACAAACAAATGATATTTACATTTATATGCGTAGGTACATTTTTAACCGATGTGTGTAAATAGTCTTTGAATGCTTTGTTTGTTCACCCAATGCAAGTGAGGTTATGTGTGTGACGTCAGCTAGTGCCTAATTCAATCGAGAAATCTCTAGAGTGCACGTAAATTCTTGTTTATTTGAATTACAGATAGGTACCTGAATAATCGCGTTCGGTTCATTACTGTGGCGATGGCTTTTCCTAACCAATTTGAATTTGATCAAGAGTTTCCTGCCGCCTAATTAATTATTTGCCCCCTCAGTTGTAAGTTAAAAAAATATTTATGGGTTTGAACTGGGGTCACTCAGGAACATGAAACAAGTCGAGAAAAAAAATCGAACAAAACTTGTGAACAAAAAATATTGTGTGTAAAACAAAAAAAGATTTTTTTTTCTAGGATTGTCAATAATTGCATTTCTTATATGTTCGATAGCGGTTTGTAAATGAAGTTTATTGTAAGGTATCTAGTCATTTTCATTGTCATGTCATTGCATAGTTTGTTTGTGTTTGTCAACAATAATGATATTTGGCAGAGTCGAAAATTATATTCAACTTAAACACAAACCTTCTTCACTGAAGCTCAGCGACATGGCGGGAATACCCAATAATATGGCATTCCTTTATTGAAATTGTATAGCATGTCGTTGACAGGAAATTGAAATTCGTCAAGCCCACCATTGGATCCCTTGGTGAATATTAATTTCCATTATGAATACCATGACAAGAAATAAAAACGGAATCATATTTCTTCATTTCAGATGGTTTAAGGTGAACCATTTAATGCTTTTAAAAATAAATTTAAATTTTACATGTCTTTACCTTTTATGGAGAAGCTATTAACATCTGTTGGGTAGGTAACGAATTTGGAAAGTCGTTCCATGTTAGGCGGAATTACATTTAATTTAAAATAAATTAAAAGCTAGAATTTGCAATATTTTCGGTTCTCAGGTCTAAAATCTGAAAAAAGTTTAGGATTCACCCCCAAAATGTCAAATGAAAAGGAGTATCGGATGGTAGGCCATTTTGAAGGTCTATTGGCCATTGGCCCTGACTATAACAAGTTTAAGGTCGTTAGCGTTTTTAGTTAATAATTAATTAATAACAGAAACGTCTTCGAACTTGGGGGGGGGGGGGGCAATAAGGCCGATAAGGCTCAGAGGAACTGTAAAATACGCTATCATATACACTTCTCAGATTAAAAATTTGAAAATGGTGGTAGAGTTGGAGTGATAGGTGTCTCATTTCACGTAAAAAACAATCTAGTCGGTAACAGAGTTCTGGGGAAGTTTTATGGTAAATGATTTATTCAAACCATCATCACAGACCCTTCAAAAGTTTCTGTTCCGCATTCAGCGCGCATTTTTAGAAGTGAATCTTTTCACTGCTCCGGGGGCGAACATAAGAAATTGACGGATCCAAGCCTGCTTTTCGAAATCTTTTTTCTTTTGGAACAGTTATTTATGGATGATATTTTTGGGGCCTGTATGAGAAACAGTATGCGAAAACTGTTCTTGGAGTGAGGTCATATAATAAAACTCACTTCATTTTAAAAAGCCTACTTATTCGACGTCATTATAAGTTTGACTTATAGTTTAAACTTATATATCGTAGAGGTTTGACTAGTCTTATCGTCACCCGATCCCACTCATGGTTTTATTGGACTCTTCTTTTCCCAAGCTTCATAAGAAATTTGGATATGTAACGCCCACAAACTTTACGTACCTACCTACCTACCTAGCATAGAAAAAAATCAGAGTGAATCCATGCCTAAAAGTTGAACTTTGAAAAAACTAAGAATATCATTGTTGAAAAAAGCAAATGTAGTGGTTATTTATTTATTTTTTTTCAACAGAAGCTTTAGTAAACAACTTTTTCTATGGAAAAGGAAAGCAACAAAGCTTTAAGATCCGAAAGAGAGAATATTATTTCAATTAACTCTAGATCTTATTTTCGGAAGGACGTCACACGTCACGACGGTGAATATTGTTAAAACTTTGTGAATTTGAGCATCGGATCTCTTATGATATTCAACTTACCCACAAAAATATTTTCCATAGAATATTACATAATGTTAGTCCAGCACTCAAACTGTAAAGTGTCACCTGCTGCCTTGTTATCTGACCTGACCTGACCTCTGTTAAATACTTCAATGATTTCCTTTCCTCAAACTATTTTTGTTTGTTACAGATATAGTGGACGAACTGAAAAGCAAGCAGTTCATGACGTCCAGCTGAGACTTCGACAGCCACCAGCATTCTCCCGAAACCCTTCCAAAAAATACCAAAGACGACTGAACATTGGCAACACTGAAGCCCAGCAACCGACTGAACCGATTATTCAAGCGCCCCAATACCAAAATCAAGAAGTAAAATTCATATCCTTACCACTTCCTGCGGATAACTTTGAAAGTTCCTGTAATACTAATACACTTAAAAGTAACGCTGGCAGCAAAAAGTTCGATTCTCCAAGGAGTACTAGGAGTGCACCATGGTCTCAGCCACATTCCAAAGGATTATATAACAATTCAGTTCCTCCTAGTCCTAGATCTGTGAGGTCGGGTAGTAGATATAGATCTTCATCTCTAGATAGCCAAAGTTCAAACGATTCTAGATCCTGTCGAAGGAGAAGGCACAAAAGCAGAACTTCAGATAATGAGAGTGAATTATCAAAGAGCTCAAATAGATCTAGGAGGAAGCATCGAAAGCGAAGATCAAAATCTAGAAGAGATTCTGAATCAGAACAGGATTCAAGAACAAGAGAACGAAGACGAAGTAAATCAAAACCAGATAAATATTATGAGCTGGTTGACTCAGAAGCACAATGGCAAAAAGCTCAACTAAAGAACAGAGATAGTAATTCTAACACAATTCAACAAGCCACTGTGGTTAGCAATGCTAATAAAGGACATGAAAAATCACATCATAAGCAAGCATCATCTGATTATAGCACTAATAGTCGACAAAGCAAACACAGAAAGCACAGGTCGAGATCGCCTGGGGATTCAAAATGGCTTCCTGATGAGCTTAAAAAACACCTCGAATTTGATTTGGTGGATACATCGGGCATGAGTGACTTGCAATTGAAAGAAATACCGTATACCATTGTTAAAACAAATTATTCAAAACATGTTAAACTGAAAAAGCCTCCAGAAATGAAAAAAGAACATTTTAATCCTAGCAGACCAAAATCTTATCAGTTGGGTCCTGGTCCACTGTACAACACCAAAGCACTTATGGATGAAGCTCTCACTAATTTTTCTTATCCAGATTCAATAGAAGGCCCTCAGTACTATGATGGTACCCAATCAACCCTTTCAACATATTCCACTAATTTCAACAACCCTATTTTGGATAATTTCCCAAATTTTCATAGAACTCAGCATGAACATTCTGATTCTGGTTTAGGAGTTTAACGATAAAATACATGAAAGAACTGTTGATGTGATTTTTTGAAGTGATTAGTCTACCAAAACTAATAAAATTATTATTCTCATTTCTCAATAATATATTTCAGGTTGTAAGAAAGGTACCTACCTACTTACTTGAAACTAGTAGGAATTATTATTTATAACTATATTTTCTTTATACATATACCACTCATAATTTTAAACTAATAAGTTAATTTCTGTGCAACATTGTAAGTAACATAAAATAATTTAAAACCAATATAGTATATCATCATATATATTTATTTATTATATGTTTTCTAGTTATTGTGTATTTTATTTTATTTACTATAAAATATACACCTGATACAATAAATGACATTTTAAGATTAAGACTTGTGTTTTATTGAGCTGCAAAATTTGTAAATGTAATAATTTGAGAACCCTTCAGTCTCTAGAAGTATTTTTTCCGCATTCATCATTTTTCTTCAGCTTTATAAGGTGATAACATTTCATTCTCTTTATTGCATTTATTGTGATTAAGGTATTCATAATATATTTTTTGTCAAAGTTGTTATGATTATGCAAGCTGCTTATTGCTGTATCTTAGAAACTATTTCACCTACGAAGACGAAATTAGTGTCGTTTTTTTCTAAATTTTGTTTACTTTAAAATTATACCTAACGACTTTTGCCGTAACATTAGTCCTTGGTGGTCAAAATATAGAAAAAGTGAAAAAACAGTGAACATTTAGCAGTTCCAGTAATATTTAATCTTAACAATAATCCGGAGGGCTCTCAAGGTGGAAAACTCGGATTTGTCATTACCACTTTATCAGATAAAACATATCAAAAAATCAGAAATACCTTTTCATGCAACGTAAAATGTACCAATTCCATGGACTAAATGTATTAAGGGGGTACGGTACATTATATGAAAATAAACTCAAGGACTGAATTTAGTTGCGGCCAAAAGAGATCGAAATCACCTAGGTGCAGAGCGGATCTAATGGGAGAAGGACGGTGGTTTGTCGGCCAAGCTGGAGGTAGTGCCACATAGCTCGCTAGGCGCGCATGTAGCACGCGGTGTGCTGCGCACACTGAGTGTTTTAGCTTTAAGTCATGTCCTTAGTCTTAGTCCTTGTTTTGTATGTATTGTTTGAGGGGGGCCTCACTCCCCTACCCAATATGTATATAAACTGAATAATTTTTGAAATAAAGAGATTTTGAGTTTGAGTTCTAGGTGCAGAATTCGTAGTTTCTTTGTAGTAGTTGGCTGGATTTACTATTTTTATAACTCGTAGTCAAGACATCATCGCGGTACCTGGTACCTTTGCCTATGGGTCCTCGCCACTGCAGGATCATTAATTTTTTTTTTTTTTTTTAATAATCCCCTTCCGCCACAGATTTAGAGACATAACACTTTTTATGTGTATCGGGTTAGACAAATTATTATAAATTATCTATCTAGCTTTTCTTGTTTAAAAGTAATTGAAACATATTGTCATTTCACTTTATCAGGGACCAACACTCATAAGGATGATACCTCGATCATTAATTTTGTGACTGATTCACACACTAGCCCTAGTCCACAACAGTCGAATAATAATGTAGATTTTAACCTTACAGGTGACAGTAGCGGGGGTAGCACATCTAATGTTTCGAATTTTTTTTTAACTTCAACCCTCCCAAACGGGAGGACTTAATGAATAAGCTTTCGTTGGTGTTACAAAACATCACATCCCTTTGGTTGCACCCGCAGGAGTGTTTCAACGTGCCGAACTATCATACAATTTCCATTTCGTGCCGAGAAAACTCTCTTCACGGGGGAACCCTTATTTTATCTAAATCATCCTTCAACTTTGAAAAATACAATTATCTTTTGAATGAGGGAAGCTTCGAATTTTCAGCTTGCTTCTGTAAACATTATAATCTGTACATTTTTTGCCTGTATCGTTCGGCCTCTACCAATGTCAAGAAGTTTTTAAATAGTCTGGACTCGACGCTTACCGAAATCTATTCAAATGCAAAAGTTATCCTTGCTAGTGACTCTAACATGGATATTAGTAATTTGAATCAAATCAATACCATAATGCTAACAAATATGATAACTGCTTATGGGTTAAAAATGCATGTTGGGTCCGCAACAAGAATCACCGATTCCACTGCGACAACCATTGATTTTGTATGCTCTAACCTAAATAATGTGTCTTGTTCAGTCATTCATTCTGCTTTGTCTGATCGGAGCTGTTTTGTCCTATTTTTCGCTAAAATCAGTTCCAGAAAAGCCTAAACGAATACACAAAAGAATTTTTACCACAAATACTTTCACTCAATGTCAAAGAGTAAATTGGCAGGAATGGCAGGGTGTTGAACAGTCACCGGAACCCATCTTATACTTTTACAAAGTTCTTTTGGATAACTTTCAGCGAGCTTTTCCACTAAGGTAGGTGAAGCCGAAACAAAAAGCTTTGAAACAATGGTTGTCCTTGGGTCTGAAAATATCTTCAACTAATCTACGAAGTTTGAAGTACATCAAGAAGTTTTTTAAAGATGAATGGTTTTTATGGTATTGTAATAAATATCGGAACTTGCATAAAAAGTTCATCGATTTAGCCAAAAAAAAATATTATAGTGATAAGACTTCATAAATCTAAAAATGTACAGAAAGAGAGCTGGACCATTATAAATGAAATTCCGAAAAACAGTGTATCAAAGAAATTCAATGAGATCCGGGTAGAGTGCAACATTCTAAATGAGTTCTACTGTAGTATTGCCAGTAAACTGACAGAACACCTTTCAACTGATACTGATCCGTTGACCTACCTGTCTGGCATTTCTGTCTCTGGCTCATTTTAATTTTTTAATGTTGAGCCATTAGGACTACTTGAAGCCCTAAAAGATATTAACAACAAGAGGTCTTCGGGAGAAGATGAAGTTTCTGTTGAAGTTTTGATTAAATTGCCGAATAACGCTCTTTTGGCACTCTGTACGGCAATGAACAACTCTTTCCAGAAAGGCTCATTTCCGGATTGTTTGAAGCGCTCAATTTTTTTCCCACTTCACAAAGGAGGCACTACGGATTCTCCTTCAAACTTCAGACCTATTTCACTTCTTCCAACTTTGTCAAAAGTCATTGAAAAAATAGTTAACACGTTCGCTGCCAGAGAGATTTCGGTTGATCGGGTCCAAAATGCCAATGTTGAAAAACTATATTTTATTATTTTATCATCGAAATAGGTCTAAATAACATAAAATATTCATCCAAAGTAGTACCTGACCCATATTTTTGCAAAAAAATACCATACCATTCCATACCAAGGACTAGCATGTTTGAAATTTTTTTTTTTGTTCAACTATGTCTGTGTGATATTCTTATACATGTCCCGTAAGCCAGGCACCCCCATTAACCGGTATTTACAACGAATATACTCGTACTTGACTTTGAACGACACGATGCAAAATACGAGTCATCTCGTAGCTGACACCTGTAATAAGATTGTCTACTACGAGTTAACTCGTACTTGGCAGCGAACGTGTTAAAAAGCGCATGTGGATCTACTTTACCAAGTTTAAGCTTATTACACCAAAGCAGTTTGGATTTCAATCATCCAAGGGACTTATGACGCAATTTTTAACTTTCTTGACCGAGTCTATACTGAGAATACTGAGATCAATTAGGGTGAAATAGTCGCGGCGGTGTTCTGTGATCTATCCAAGGCGTTTGATTGTGTGTATCACGGAATATTGTTGCAAAAGCCTGAGCGCTATGGTTTCAGGGGCTCAGTGTTGTCATGGTTTAAGTCTTACTTGACTCACCGTACTCAGTGTATGTTGGCATCTGGGTCATCTTCTTCATCATTGGGTGTCAACTGTGGAGTTCCCCAAGGCTCAGTTTTGGGTCCGTTGTTTTATTTATTTATTTATTTAGAGATACACTTTTCAAACACCCCTCTTGGAGTAATTACAGGAAAAGGAGTAGTGAAAACAAAAACAATAGAAAACACAACAAAAAACAAAAAATAATAAATTAACAGAAAAAATAAATAAAAATGTAAAATGTAAAATAGTAAAATAGAGAATAAAGCACAGCCAAGTTCTAAAGAATAATACTTTCCTTACGCAGTTCCTCAGGCACCAAATGCTGTTCCAAGAAGTTATTGTACATAGTCAACATATTGCTGATCGGGGAGATATTATTACAAACATAAAACAAATCCTTATTTACAATTCTCAGCCTACCCTTCGGTACCTTAAACTTAATATAATTTACAATAAAACAGTCTTTCTATATTAAAAACCTGTCAACATCGAATTATATGACACCATATATGGGTAGACGTTATTTTTTTTTACATAAAGAAACCTTAAAAATCTCTTCTGTACTTTCTCTATTAGATCTATACCTACTGATGTTGTCGGTGACCATACCTTCGATGCATACCTACACCTACTCCAAATGAGGTCTCACATCAAGGGCATTATACAGTTTTATTATTGTTTCAATACTGAAACTCCTACTGTTTCGGAATACAAAACCCAACACTTTATAAGCCCTATTCACAATATTAACAAAATGATCATTAAATTTTAGTGTCGATTCAAAAGTTACTCCAAGGTCTTTGACTTTACTATTTCTTTTCAATGATACACCATCTACATAGTAATCGTGCATAATAATATTTTGTTTTCGAGTGAAACTAACAACTGAACATTTATCAACATCGAGGGACATCTTATTCACAAAAAAACAATTGACCACGGAGTTCAGATCAGACTGGAGATCATTACAGACATGATCGCATAATACTGGTCTAAACAGTTTGAAATCATCTGCATACAACAAATTGGCTGATGTGGTTACATAATATGGTAAATCGTTAATAAAAATAATAAATAAAAGTGGTCCTAGCTTACTACCTTGAGGTACCCCAGAGGTCGCAATGAACTGCTCTGATCTAGCCTGTGCAACTTTTACAACGTGGAGTTCTCTTAAAAAGCTATGATTTCATAAAACTGTAAGCTTCCTTGGAGAATCCGAAATCAACCAGTTTATCTAGCAGAATACAATGGTCTACCTTGTCAAATGCCTTTGCACAGTCAGTATATATAACATAGCTGAGACCTATTAATTATTGCCTCACACGCATGTCCTGAAAATATACATAGATTTGTGGCCGTGGACTTATCAGGAACAAATCCATGTTGTGAAACTGATATTAATGGTTGGACCAGCTCAACCAGCTTGTTGTTCTTGATATATATAAA